TGACATAGGAAGCCAGAACCCTGGTATGGCAAATCAAATGACAACTACCAGGAATTGAGAAGCTATAGGTTTAAGTCTTTCAATAAATACCTGCAGAATATTTCCAAGTGCAAAACACACTCCTAAAACCAAGATTCAAATGTGAAATTATAATCCTTGTAGTTTAAAAATATTCTTGAAAATTACAAAGTATTTAAAAACACAAGGTACACACGCGCACACACGCGCGCGCGCGCACACACACACATATGTATAATTTGTCAATGCAGAATAAACAAGCTATGCTATCACTTTTTTTTTTTGGTGCTATCCTGGGGTTGAACTAAGGCCTTGTGTGCTGTCCCTGAGCTTTCTTTGCTTGAGGCTAGCTCTCTACCACTTCAGCCACAGCTCTAATTCAAGTTTTTTGGTAGTTTTTTTTTGAAGCTAAGCATCTCACAGGCATTCCTGCCCAGGCTGGCTTCAAATTGTGATCCTCAGATCTCAGCCACCTATGTTAACTAGGATTACAGGTCTGAGCCGCTGGCACCTGGCTCTAGGCTATTGCTTTAAAAAAAAAATACTACATGCAGAAAACAAATCAATAGAAAGAAACATTCCAGGGGTTGGGGGTTTAGCTCAGCGGAAGAACACCTGCCTGGCCAGTGCAGAGCCCTGAGTTCGGTCCTCAGCTGGGGGGGGGGGGGGGGGGGAATATTCCATAATTTTACAATGTGTTATATTTGAGTTTGATAGATATTTAATCTCTTATACTACCTTGTAATTTGTTTTACTTATCCCTCTTCCTCCAAGTTTACATGTGAGGGGATTAATCTATTTTATTACCCAAACATATTTGTTTTTTTTTCATCCCATTATCACTACTGTAACTTGCCAAGAATTTAGCTCATAACCTCCTACTTGCCTTCCTATAAGTTATGACCCACTTCACATTAGCTTATTTCGGGTAACAATTTCTAAACTTTAACACCTTCCACCCAAGGATGTACTCTACAAATCCTAAATCACAACAATTCTGCGCATATGTGACAAGTTATTACAATTCCCACTTTACTACAGAGTTAGGAAACTGGCCCAAGGGAAGTAGAATAACTTGGAAGTAATCACAAAACCAGATGCCAAAAATAACAACTTTTAGTCAATCCATGAGAAAATACTGCCCCTAGTATAAATAACATGAAAATTAGCATTAGGAGGAAGCAAATGCAAAATAATGCTTTAAATCCAAATCTAAGCCTCCTTTCTAAAAATGACTGAACCTGAGAATTAACATTTGAAGAACTTTCAAACAAAGCCTTTTTGTCTTATCCATTGTGCCAAAGATTATCTAATAAGTTACATCTGGCAAAAGTGACTTTTTCCCAAAAAATAATCGTTTATCTTATCCATTTAAAAGATATTTGGAGCTGGGCACATGCCTCTAATCCTAGGTTGAAGCCAGCCTAGACAGCAAAGTGTGATATTCTGATATCCAATTAACCACCTAAATAAAGGAAATGGGGCACTGGCTCAAAGTGGTAGAGCACTAACCTTGAGCAAAAAAGCACTCAGGCCCTGAGTTCAAGCCCCATGATTCACAGAAAAGAAGAGGACAAGGAAGATGAGGAAGACAACGACGACATTTGGAGAGAGGGTATGGTAGCTCTTACCTGCTCACTGTGGAAAAAAAGATCAAGAGAATCAAGTTCTGAGACCAGCCTGAAAAAGACTCTATCTCAACAACAAGCCAGGCATGGTGGGACAGGCCTGGAGTCCCCAACTACATGAAGAGGCATAGGATGATCAAACTCTGAAGCTGACTAAGCAAAAATGTAATAACCTTTCTGAAAAAAACCTAATTATTGAGGGTGTGGCTCAATCTTCAGTACTGTCAAAAGTAAATAAGTGAAGCCAGTCATCGATGCCTCACAGCTGTAGTACTAGCTACTCAGGAGGCTGAGATCTGAGAAGTGAGGTTCAAAACCAGCCTAGGCAGGAAAGTCCATGAGACTCTTATCTCAAATTAACTACCAAAAATGGGGAAGTGAAGCTGTGACTCAAATGGTAGAGTGTTAGCATTGAGAAAAAAGGGACAGCACTCAGGCCTTGGGTTCAAGCCTCAGAACTAGTACACACAAGTGCACACACACACACACACAAATATGTATATAAACACAAATGAGTGAATGTGTAAAAAACATGGAGAGAATTATAATTATGTTGACAGAACAAGAGGCAACTTTTCAGCCAAGATATTTAAACTCTAATGCTGTTAGAACAGATTCAAAAAGTTGAGTGACCATTGCATTATTTTCCAAAAATTAACATAGGGTTAATAAAGGTAAAACTTTAATATTTTATGGTTAATGTTCAGAATGAAAGTTCCTTTGCCATAACTTACCATATGCATTTCCAAATATGCTGTGATTTGTTGTAACTTAAGGGCACTGTTTTATCTGATTAAATCAGTCTTACATGGTTTTTTTTTAAATCTTGATTTATGTAATGACTTTCTCTCTGTTTTTGTGGTACACAGGAATCAAACCCAGGGCCTCATACATGCTAGGCAAGGATTATACCACTAAGCCACATCCCCAGCCTAGTCTTGAATTTTAAAACACAACTCCTTTTCAAAGTGAGTTTATGATGTCTGTGTGATCATACTTAAAGGACATGTCAGAGCAAACTATTGTCCATTATTACAGTATTTACACTCTGCTGACAGTCAAAACACTATGCTCAAGAATTGCCCTTCCAATACATGGCTATGCACTAAAAACAAGTATGGGAGATGACTGTTAGTAAAAGTCCTTTGAATCCAAGCTGTAAATTTTCAGGAATCTCTTGTAGCACTCATAAAAACATTGCCTTCCATTAATTAAAACTCAACCTAATTCTAATCATCACTTTTAAAGAAAAAAGTTTGCTCACATTACTTCCATCCATCCTGTACATTCTCTATCATCAGTACTTCTTGTAACTGAAATGATGCTAGCAATGATTTTTATGGATGATGTATCTTAGTAGCGAACGTCTAAGTTAAAAAAAAAAAAAAAGAACTCCTGAAAAATACACTCAGTATAGTAATCCTGGTAAACTCAATGCTTCTTATTCCGAGCAACAAGAATAACTTGGGCCTCAAGTACACACAGCACCGCACCCCATTCCCCAAGCTTCTAACATTACCATAACAATATGAGCTGACGACAATTTAATGTTCCTTTTTAACATAAGAACGTGCATTTTAAATAACCTCACTTAGGCCATTACCGGTCTTTTGACTGTAGTTAATATTTTCCACAAAAGACCCTAAAAGGAATATTCATTCATCTCCCAAAACTAAACTACATTCCCTGAAGCTTAATCCCGTTGAAAAAGGGTTGATATAATGCATCTACAGAAACAAAAATTACAAACTATAAACTCAGTCAACTCTTAACTGTAAATTGTAAACTTTAATGATGAAGAACTAAACCGTGTCTATTTGATGCCCAACCCGCACAGATGCTTCTCCTTACCAAACAGGCGTCACTGGCAAAATAACCAGCCTACAGAATGCTAATCCTCCACCCCATCAACATTCACTAGTTTTCAACATCAGAATCCACTCAACCCCTATATAGCACGCCAAATGAAGACATTGTATCTGGACGTATTCTCAAATAGCAACTACGCGCACACACACACACAAACACACACAGCGCCTATTTCTCTGGACGTTTTCTCAAATAGCAATTACACACACACACACACACACAGCGCCCATTTCTCCGCGTCTCACAATACTCTCCCCCAAGCCCCAAGCATCCCCAGGTAACCCAGCGATACAAAGCTGCACTTGGCCTAGGCCTCCTGAACCCATCGGGGAAGGCGCGTGGGGCGGGGGGGGGGGGGGGGGGGATAACCATCAAGAGACGGGATCTTTTTCCAGGGCGACAGTTTCCAAGCAAAACAACCACAAGAGACGGCAACGAAAACTGGAAACGTTTTAATCCCGAGAGAAAGGGGCACAGGGTAGGGGTGGGAGGAAAACACATGTAATCCCGAAAGGGGTGAGAAGGAAACTTCAGTATCCATTCCACCCCCCCCCCCCCCCAGCATCTTTCGGACTCAGAACAAGAAGTCACAGAGTCTTGCGTGCACTTGGATGCACCAGACGGGGAGTCCCCGGGGCTGAGACAGTTCAGGAGACACACGCGCACGGTGGGCAGCGGATAAACCAAGCGACGCTTGGAGGGAAGGCGGGGGGAGGGGTGCGGGGGGGAGTAAACCCCTAGAGATTGGGGAGCGAGGGCTTAGGAAGTCTCTGGAGGTGACCAAGGACCAAACAGAAAGGTGAGATGGGGGAGACACTTGGGGAAGACAAAGGGACTGGGACGGGAATGCGCTCCCCGGGCTATGGCAGGTCACCGGGCTACGGAGCGGAGAAACACAACAAAGAGGCACGGGAGGCGAGACAGCGATGGAGAGGGGATGCGGGACGCGGCGGGTCGGACAAAGCGCCCAAGGCGGAGAAACAAAGGGCCCGGGGTAGAGACTCGCGGGGGGCGGGGGGGGACAGCTCGGAAAGACAAAGCGCCCGGGGCCGGGGGGGGGGGACCGGCGGGGCTAAGGGGCGACTCGGCCCGGAGGAACAAAAGCTACGCGGGGGCTCCCCGGGCAGCGTCCCCCCCGCCGGGCAGGGCTCCCCGGGCAGCGTCCCCCGGGCAGGGCCCTCCTCCGGCGGGGCGCGCGGCGGGCGCAGCGCCCGCGGGTCCCGCGCGCCGGCCGCACTCGCGCCCGCACCCCGGGGCCTCGCCGCCGCCGCCGCCCGCCCTCACGCGCCGAAGCCCGAGCCACCGCGGCAGCCGAGCGGGCAGCGCGCCGCCGCACGCCGCCGCGCTCGCGGCACGCGACGCCGCTCCCTCCTCGCGGCCTCTCGAGACCCGGCCGAGCCGCGGTCCTCGAACCCGCCGCCCGCCACGGGCTGCCAGACGCCCGCAACTTTCCCGGTTCCCAGCGCTCGGTTCCTTCAGACTTACCCTGTCACAACAGGCGCCATCTTCCACAAACTCTCGCCAAAACTCCAACCCTCGCGAGATTCCCCCCGAAGCCTGCCCGGGTCCCTCTCTCCTCTCCCCCCCTCCCCTCCCCGCCCCTTCCCTTTCTGCCTAGCTTCTCGATTCCACCCAGCCCCGGTACTCCTCTCCCCCTCGCGGCGCCGCGCACAGCCCGCCGCCTCGCGCCGCCCGCCGAGCAGGCGATGCAGCTCACTGCCTCCTCGGGAAACCTACCCGAGCCACGGAGCATGCGCAGGCGGCTCCTCCGCGGGCGAGCCCTCCGCGCAGTCCATGGGGAGCGCTCCGGAGATCCGGGTTTTGGGACGCGCCCACGGGAACGTACGTGGAGACTGAGGAAAACCGGAGGGGCGGGGAGGTGTGTGTGAGGGGGGGGGGGGGGAATTACTACGGGGACAGGCAACGGAGGGTCAGGGGGCGGGGCCGAGGGCCCGGGAGGAGGGGTCCTGGGAAAATACGCGGCGCTTCCCAGGCCGCCTCCTCCCCGCGTGGGTGTGCTCCCGGTGGCTTCCCGCTCACCGCGTTCGCGGCCTTTTCATTCATTCGGGCGTTCAGTGGACGCCTCCTCCGGGCTCGCATCGGTGCGCGTGTGCGCTCGGCCGAGATCCCTGGGGTCTGGACCACTGAGTGACCGGCCCGGAGCGGTCTCCATTCATTGGCCTCCCCGACCCCCCCCCCTCCCCCTGCAGGTAGGGAAACTGGCACGGTCACCACGTGGCCCGATCGCTCCCACCACTGTTCGGATAGAAAACTTTTGCCCGTTGAGTTGTGTCGCCTTGGGTGCAAACTCAGGTCCGCTGCGGGCCTCGGGCCCCGGCGCTCCGGGGAGCCACCCGGCCTGCCACCCGCCGGGGCGCCGAGCGGCCGGACTCCAGCAGTGACCAGTGCGCTGGGATGAGGAGCCGCTCCCCGCCGCCCCAGACTCTAGCCACGCAGCCCAGCCGAGGGCCCCAGCGCGCGGGGACGCTCAGCTGCTGCCGGCGTGTGCGAGCCCGGCCGCAGGCAGGACGCTGCCCTGAAAACCGGTCCTCCCGTGCGCCTGGCTTGCAGCCCCAAACGCACTTCACCTGGCCCAGAAAAATCGCGAAGCCCCTAGCAGACGCGATGTGGTGGGGCATTTAATAACCGGGTGCAGAGCCCGAACCCCGCCGCCCCCTGTTCCTATCTGCAGCCTCCCTCCACCTCTCCGTCTCCCCCCCCCCCCCACCTCCCTTGCCCTGTCCTTTTCCTGGAGATTCCCAGCTCTAGCACAGCCTCTTGCAGGGAGCCACAAAACCCGGAGAACTGGAATCTGCCTCCCACCCCCCCCCTTCACCCCCCCATCTGCGGAAGGCGCTGCAGGATTGGCGCGCCACGCGCGAGCGGCACTGCGCATGCGTCCCATGCGGGCAGTCCAGTCTCACGCTACACCTCCTTGCTACCGCCTGCCACTACTCCGCTCAGACACAACACAGGCCGTGGGAATTTTCCTAAGCCTCGCGAGAACGCGCTCCCTCTCCACACACACCCCCCCGCGCCGCCCCCGCCAATCCCCCGCCGGGTAATGCTTTCGCCCCAAGTCTCGCGGAGCCCGAGCCGAGCAGGTGCCTGGGTCGGCGGTGCGACTCCCGGCGCGGTGCGTGCCGCGCGTGCCCAGGCGGGACGGGTGGACGCGAGGCGGGGAGACCCGACCCCGAGGTCTCACGGGCACGCCCCGCGAGGCTGGATGCCAGCCGTGGAGTGCGGGAAGTTCCCAGGTGCGGGAAGTGAGAGGTCAGGTTCAAGGGCCCCGAGCAGCGGCCCCTCTCCCGGGGAGGCTTCCGGCCGCCCTGCGGAGCCGGCCTGGTACTTTCCCAAAGTGTGTTCCGCGCCGCTCACTCCGCCTTGTTGGAGTTGACAGACAGGGCCCCGTGTCCAGTTTGAGTCATGCCTTTGAGTCACCTTAGTTCGATCACCAACCAGTTCTGCTGCAACCCAAGTTCGAATTCCCTTAGCCTCTCTCCTCTCACCCGATTGCCGGCCTCGTGAGCCGGCGGCACCCGGCCTGCCCCAGCATGGTTGCATTGCATTAAAGGGGACGGGATGTTTTTATTTATTTCCCTTTGTCTTCCAAGCCTTTTAAAGTAATCCCCACGGATCAGTTTCTGTTCTTTTTTCCCCTCCTCCCACGACTATGATAAAATTGCTTTTTTGCTTTTCTTCCCCTTTCCATGCTTTTGTTGTCATAACTGTGCCATTTTAGGAAGTGTTTTATCAGGTGCTTTAGTGACTACCCCTTTAAATACATCTTTTCTTTTTGGATTATTTCTTCAACCATCCAAGTTTCAGATTGACTCTGTGTACATGCGGTTTCTGACCACCTCAGCCTGGCATTGCCTAAGAACTGGTGTCTTGCTGACATACACCATTGGCCTACAATTGTAGGACTGATGTTTTGGGGAGGGGGGAGGGGTACTAGAGCTTAAACCCTAGGCCTTGTGTGTGTTAGGCAAGCACTCTATCACCAGTGGCATCCCCAGACCCTTTTTGAGAAAGGGTCTCAAGAACTTTGCTTGGGCTTGCCTGGAATTCAAGATCCTTCTGCCTCCATCTCCTTGGTAGCTGGGCTTACAGGCCTGAGCCACCAGGCCCTGCTCATTTTCTGTCAATTATATAACTAAATAGGAAATCAACTTTTTGGAGCCTTCAAGGTTTCTAGGTTTCTTGAGTTTGTATATGCTTATTCCTTTGCTTATAACTTTACACAGAAAAAAAAAGAGAAAATGAAACAGCTTAAAACAATGCATCAGTGCAAATCTCATTTGCAACAGAAAACCACAGGAAGAATGTAATGACCTTAAAGGCATTCCTTGAATCCTTCATCACAAAATTTGTCAGCTATGTTTTAGTCACTAGTCTAACTTGGAGATTATGGCCATTGAGAATTCTGTGGCCTTGGAAATCCTTGGTAACCACACATCTAATCTAATCACATCTCTTCATCCTCACTTTTAAACAGCTTCCCTCCATCTTTTCCCATCTCAATAAATGGCAATCCCTGGCCCGGCACTGGTGGCTCATTCCTGCTACTTAGGAGCTGAGATCTGAGGATTACAGTTTGAAGCCGGCCTGGGCAGGAAAGTCCATGAGATTTTAATGTCCAGTTAAGCACCCTCCTTCCCCCACCCCCCCAAAAAATTCCAGAAGTAGAGCAGTGGCTCCAGTGGTAGAGCACTAGCCTTGAGTTAAAAAAAAAAAAAAAAAAAAAAAAAACCAGCACCTAGGCCCTCAGTTCAAGCCCTAGGAACAACCTCCCCCCCCCCCCCCAAAAAAAAACAGCACTCTTCCTCCAAAAAAGTTCCCACAGTCCTCTCATATCTTTACCTCCTTGCTACCAGCCCAGTGTAACCCATCTCTTTAACCAACTGGCTTGCAGGAAGGGAATCTCTTCACTGGTGTTCTTGTTTTCCAATCTTAACCTTCCCTCCGTGACTTCTCAAATGGAGCATTATGAGTCATCCTCTAGAACTCTCCAAGGGTTTTCTCATTTTAACCATCACTATGATATACACAAGGTTGGCTGCCACCGAACTCTACTGACCTTCTTGATCTTCACTCCTCCTCCTCTTTTTTTAGCTACTCCTGGACCACACCCAGTATACTCAACCCTACATGGCATTCTGTCCCCTCTGACACCTCAAACCTCACTCCTTTTTTCATCTTAGAAGTCACCTCAGTGAGGCTTTCCCTGAATCACCCCTTCATTGGAGTGATGTTCATGTGCCTTATCCCCTTTTACTTTTATCATGACATCACAATTACATTTTACATCATGTTTGTGTATTGTGTTCACTGTCTGTGTCTTCCCATTCTAATATTATTAAAAACAGGGACTTCTGTCTATTTTGTCCATTGTTCAAGCCCCAGCCACCAGAACAATGTCTGGTTTGGTATCTGGAGGAGGAATACAATGCTTCTTCCACTTTGGGGAAGAGCAGAAATGATTCAGAAGATTCACTAAGCCTTCTAGGTTGAAATTAACACTGGGATTAGATCAGCAAAAGTACCCAAGTACCATCTACTTGGAAGGAGAAAAAGCTCACAGAACTTTCTGCCAAAACAAATCAAAAAGCCTGAAGCTGGTAGCTTACAGCTATAATCCTAGCTACTCAGAAGACTGAGATCTGAGAATCACCATTCAAAGCCAGCTTGGGCAGGGAAGTCCATGAGACTCATCTCCTACTGCTCAAGTGATAGAGCACTAGCCTTAAGCAAAAGAAGCTCAGGGTCAGTGCCCAGACCCTAAGTTCAAGACCCAGGACTGGAACACAAAGAAAGGAAGGAAGGAAGGAAAGAAATAGGAAGAAAAGAAAATAATAAAAATATATAACTGGCTCTTGGTGCAGTCAGACATATTTAGTGTTCTTAGCACTATAGGTTAGGCATTTTTTTTGATGCTTCACAACATAGATAGCAAAGCTCCCCTCTCCCCCAACCCAGGGAGGTCTGGCTTAACAGGGCACAGCTCAGTTGCCTTGTTCTGTGTTAGGATTGAGATCTAAACTACAGGCAGTTAGCTGAAGGAAGATGGAAGAAGCACTGCTTCTTGCCTGATAGGTGCAGGAAGGCAAATATTTGTAGAAATGGCTTTGAGCTGACTCTCACCTGAGTGGGAGTTCAGAAGACAGTAAGAGGAGGAAGCATCACAGCACAGGAAGCTGCAGGTTCAGGCCCTGAGGTGTGAAAAGGCCTCTTGCATTCAGGGGAAGTCCAGTTGAGACTGGCATATACAGAAGAGGAACAAGCATCCAAGCAGGGTCAGAAGAAGGACCTAGTAGAGAACTGTAGTTCACAAAAGTTAGTAAGTTAGTAGACATCACTAAGGCTAAAAGAGTCAGTTTGGAGCCTGGCACCAGTGTCTCACACATGTACTAGCTATTCAAGATCTAAGGATCCTGGTTCAAAGCCAGCCTGACAGAAAAGTCCGTGAGAGTCTTATCTCCAATTAAGCACCAAAAGTGCTTGAGTCAGCACCTCGGCCCTCTAGCCAGGTGCTAGAAGCAGCTCACAC